AATGTGGCATATTTGTTAAAGCTATTATTATTATCATTATTATTATTATTATTATTGTCATGATGGTTATTATTAATATATTGTAGCCAGTCACAGCAGGGAAGCTCTATACCATCAACATATAACAGGACAGGAGATGAGGAAGAGTTCAGGGAAGACACAGAGACAGAAAAAGACCAGGATGAGGGAGAGCAGCAGGGTGAGGGAAAACAGGGAGATGAGCCAGATGAAAGAAGTATGCTTTAGTCTGTTCTGTTGGTGATGTGACTTTTTTCCATTGAAAACTCACGTTTAGAGAATGTTACAAATAAAAGTCAAATTTCATTCAACATGCGTTTATTTTTTTTATAATTAAGTGTTACACGTGCGCTAAAAAGTGCCCTCCCCCCCCTCCTGAGCACCTGCCCCCCAAAATGTCTGTGCACGCCTCTGCTTTCTTCAGAAAGAAAATCTTGAAATAGTCATGGAGGACATATATTAACTGTTTTTTCACCTGTCTGTCTTGGTAATCAACACTGTTGGAACTATGGGATGTTCTCCACCTTGTTGAAAGAGATATGTCTTATTTTGATCAAATACTATAATTTTCCTGAATGGGAAGCGATTCATCTTCAAACTTGGAAACAAAGTCCAGTGGATTATATATATTTTTTTTTACTTTTTTGGAATAATTCATAAGTTGAACACCTAGAAAGATTTTGTATTTATCTAACGTATTGCAAAAATTGTTACCAAGCCAACTATTGTCCCAAATAGGATGGTTTCAGAAAAAAAAGCCATATGTGCGCCAATCTCTGCTTATTTATTGGTTACAGACGTATTCTCAGACCTTTAAAGTTCAATTCAATTCAGTTTATTTATATAAATTGTGTATAACACATTTCATCTCATGGGCCTTCACTATACAGGAAACAGGCCTACACTGAAAAAACAGGCCAACCACCAACATCTAAAATAATGGTGTTTAAAGCATGGCTGATACTTCCAGGATATCTTTAAAGGGATTTTACACAACACCATGCCATGAAGGGTTAATTATTTATGAGGTATTATTTCACATTCTTAAGCAGTTATGCAATTAGGTTAAAACAGTTTTCTTATTTTATTTCATTATAATTTTTCATAGTTTGTCATTTCTTTTGCATTTTATTTTGTTTTAGAAATAGATAAGGAGTGTTGAAAAGTGTGTGGATTTATAGTTTCAAATGCAAAATATATTTTGGCATCTATTGCTCTCTCTGTGGGGGTCTGTAGGTGGAGCTCTTGATTCTTGGCAGACTGACCCCACAGAGCTGTGGATCATCTGTGGTACTCATTCTAATGCAGGTCCATCTTCCCTAGACTACCCACTCAATCATCATCAGGTCATTGCACCACTCAGTCTCATCAAAACCCTAAAGGTTCTGTTTTTGCTTTTACTTTGTCTGCCCTTTCGCCTGCTTGCAACGTCATCTATCTGATTCCTCTTCTGCACTTTCTGTCAGAATCTTATTTCAGATGTATTGCATATTTTCAATGAGAAGACAAAAATAAGTGTCACAGGAGATCAGCGAAGGTGACATGTAACTTCAAGCAGGTTAGGTGAAATTTGATGATAATTAAAAACAACCAGTGTTTTTCAATAAAATATAAATGTCTTTTATATTGTAACAATTGTATGCCATTAATGCACTTTATCTAACAGCCTCAGGACAAAAAAAGGGGACAGAGAACGAAGGCGAAGACAAGCAATGAATAATGCAGGCTGAGAATCAAACCCAAGCCAAAAGCATGGAGGACTGACAGCCTCATTATAACTTTAGCCTGCTGAGTTCATGCAGAAATTTAATCATCTGAACTAGGGCATAGGAAATGTTTCGTAGGTCACAGCCTACAGTACAAGTCACTTAAACTATAACTCTGGGAAGAGAAGGAAATTGTTATAATCTTGATATTTTTTTTTTACATACTTCCACAGTGAACTATCCAGAGTAACAGGATGATATAAATATTAAAATCAGTGCATGCCCTCATACTTTTCAGGATTACAGTTCCTGACATAAAAGACACATATTATGCAATTCAGTGTTGGATTGTTTTTTTCAGCAGACAAGCATTTTTTTTCCTCACAAGTGTTAAGATGATAAAAAAAGAATGACTTCTTTAGATGGTTTTTGGATGGCATTTCTTACCATATGATTACATGTGGAATGGGCACTTTAACTTTCCTTGGAGATCCTTTTCTTTGCAGGAAAAGTGTTAAGATTTATCTCTGGGTTCAAAAACACTGTTTGTACAAACATTACTGTGTTATTGGGATGACTGTGGATGTTTGTTTGTTTGTTTGTTTGTTTGTAAGTACATTTTGTTAATAAAATAAGATATTTAGATGACTTTTTTTCTCAATCACTGAGCCAAATGCATGGAAGGTGATGTGTTAACAGATGAAACTACTTAGACTGCTACTCTTTAAATTAAAAAAATAAGAACCCCTTTTCTATTGTGCTGTTTAAAAGGATGA